TCATCCATTGACCCGTCCATAACATACCCGACGCGCCGACTAAGAGGTATTTTTTTTTTACAAAAAAATAGCTCAATGAGAGGACGTGAGATATTCGACCTTTCTGGGTAGACGTCACAACAGCCGCTGGACCCATTCTCCTCAAACTCGGGCGTGAAACAAAATGGCGGTGTTTTGGGGCTATTTTCGAGATTTCGTCGGGGCACAGAAAATCGAGGATTTAACCGAATCCAAAAATTTTTTCGCAGAAGTATTTCAAATAAAATGTGTAGATTTATTTTAGCGAAAAAAAAATTGGGGGGTTAGGTGCACTTTAAAATAGTGCAGATATTTTTGCCCAGCGCCTGTAGCATGGTCCTAACCTGGCGTTCTTGCAAACACAGGTTCGACTCACACTGCAGCACATGTTGTAGACTACGAGTAGTCTCTCTTGCTTAGTCCGTCGTGCGTGACGCGAAAGAAGACCGTCAAAGAAAGCCACGAGGAAGGAATTCAAGGATTTCGCGCGGCCGTCTTCTTCCTCGCGGGTTTCTTTCGCGTCACGCACGACGGACTAAGTGAAAGAGGGACAAAGAGGGACTACTCTTTGTCTAGATATATTGCACGATACTTCAGAAGCTCAGAATTCATGTCTTGGTGCCAGCTAATAGATTTTTTTAGAACTCAATGAACGATATGCATGTATTCAAATGAATATATGAAAGACCATATATCTGAACTGCGGAGAAAGATATAAAGATATGATTGATCATCGCAGTTATACACACAATAAGCAGTTGTGAAATTAAAGCCTGAAAAAATTTCGGGCCTGAACGGGCTTCGAACCCATGACCTCTGCGATAATGTTTCTCGGCTCAGTTGGTAGAGCACCGCACCGGTAACGCAGAGGTCAGGTCCTGTTCAGGCCTGAATTTTCTTCAGGCTTTAATTTCACAACTGCTGATAAGTTGTGTGTATCTAAAATGTAAATGTAAAAGGAAATTTAATGTCAAACACGGGGAGTGCTTGCGCAATCACCCGAGCCAGAGGCTCATGATTAAGTGCTTGACAATAATCCGGATCGAATCAGAATTAGGAATGTTGGTTTCTGGGGAGAGGGGAAAACCGGAGTAGCCGGAGAAAAACCTCTCGGAGCAAGGAAGAGAACCAACAACAAACTCAACCCACGTATGACGCCTGGATCGGGAATCGAACCCGGGACACAGTGGTGGGAGGCGAGCGCTCTCACCACTGCGCCAACCCTGCTTCCCGTATAGCTGCGATGATCAATCATATCTTCATATATACATGTACTCTTTCATACGAAGTTCCGTAGTTTAGATGTACCCTTTCACTCTGATAAAGGAAAGAGTTAATAGACAGACCGCACACAGCAGACTTCAACAGGCGTTCCTAAACACCCGTCAGAGACTAAACACCAGTCACCAGTTCTCCCTGATGTAGAAGTGGAGACAGTGGAGAATGGAGGAGAATGAAGAATGTATGCCATTTGACTTGGTAATCCGCAACGGTAGAGTCATAAATGCAGCCAGTGGCTTGGATATAATTGCAGATGTTGGAATCAGAAGTAAAAAGATTGCTTCGATTGAACCTGATCTTGAAGGAAAATGCTTTGAGGAGTATAATGCAACTGGATGCATTGTAACGCCAGGTTTGATTGACATTCACGTGCATGTTTATCAGCATGCTACGCCGCTAGGTATTGATGTAGACGAGACATGCCTGGCCAGGGGTGTGACAACTGTTGTTGATGCTGGAAGTGCAGGTATGTTGTTGTGCATAATACTGCAAATTATTTGAAGCCATGTTGTTTATAAATAGGTATTTAGGGATAAAGGATAACAACCCCCCCCCCCCCCCCTACACCCACCTTGTCGCTATTCCCCCATAAATGGAGATTCCCTCATAAATTCTGAAAACAGCTTTTAATAATAAGAGTTGTTCACACTCCTACATGAAATGAATTAGGATATTGAGCTCTGATAGAATTAAGACTCCACCAAAACCAACCACTTAATTTTTTGCTATTAATAAGAAAATAAAAGCATTACAAGCTTCAAATAATCAGAGAGCTGAAAAGTTAGTTGACTGGCCTTAAATAAGTGGCACACCAGAGTTTGGCAAGCAATTTTGGTAATAGCCTGGCAGGACTAAAAAACCAGGTGTCATATTACACCCCTACCTCCCCATAACGGCCACTCTCATTTGTCCCCAAGGTGGCTGTTGTAGAGAGGTTTGACTGAAATTTACATTACACAGGAAAGAGAGGAGTTACAAAAAACTAAAAGCAAATAACTCAGTTTATGCTATAAGACAAAGTACTGCTATTCTTTATGTCCACAGTGACTTGTACATGTGCTGAAGTGTATGTGAAACTGCTTCTTTTAAGATAATCTACACTTTTCTTATCTTTTGCCTTAGGAGCCACAACCTTCCCTGGCCTTCGTAAATTTATTGCGGAAAAGTCACAGACCAGAGTGTTGTCTCTGCTCCATATAGCAGCTCATGGGCTGGCATCAGCAGGCTGCACGGGATGGGGTATGTAAAATTTGCCAACCATCATGAAATGTTAGAGATTAATTACTTTTTGTAATGGGATAGCATGATACCTTAAAGGCATCTTTTCTATCAGTTAACATTTACACAAAAAGCAACTAAAAAATGTGTCAAATAGGCATTGTGATTTAATAACATTACATCCTGTTTTGGTAACACTGAATTTATATCTACATGTAGAATTATATAAATTGTCTTAATACATGCTACTAGCTATTTAGAGGGAGGCGGCGTGGCCAAGTGGTTTAGGGCACTGGATTTGAAATCTGGAGGTCCCTGGTTCAAATCCTCCACCCTACTGCTATTTGGATTTGTTCTCGGTAGCTCCTAGTTCAACTCCTCGACCGCATTGTGTAAATAGCCAACTGGTCAGCCTCCCACCAGTTGGGATTCTTAATAGTTTATGTTATATTTGAAATATTTGTTTATTTATTTACAGTG